GCCTCAAGGTCACAGGTTCACAGGCCATGTGGTGTCTGGTGGCTTCCTGGGCCTCTCCTCTGATGTCCTTGCTGGAGGTGGAGGTTCAGCGTGGAGTCCCCTCCTTCCTGCAGCTGCTCCAGAGCAGTACACGCAGGGTGAAATGTGGCCTAGGCCACAGGGCCTTTGCGTCGGCCTCTCCAAAGTAGACAGGGAGCTGGCAGAATCCCGGCAGGCTGGTTAGCGGGAAAATCTAAGCAAAGGGAACGGCGTGGCAGGTCTCATAGTTACCCAGAGGCAGGCCGACGGCTCGAAATCAGGCCTTAAAGGTGATTGGAAATGAAACTGGGGAGGTAAGCCTCAGGTGAACACCCTCCCCCCCTTAAAATCCGCAACACAGTTCCTTCCCTCTTCCATAGAGGTCTTTCCTCCTCTCGCCCCCAGCTCCTCCGAAATGGATCCAGCTCAAGAATTTTCATCTCAGAGCACGTTCTTCTTAAAGGAAACTCCTGTCTTAACATGATGCAGGGCTGGTGTTTTTGCAAAGTGCCTTTTATGTCCCGCCTGGCCTCCTGCCTCACGGGGTTCTGTTCTTATTCCAGGGCCCTTAAGTGAGAAGCAAGAAGCCCTGTTGACTAAGAGCCCCGCCTCGAACGTTCGGCGCCCTGAGGACCGGAACCTGGGTCCCATGTGGCCCGTCACGCAGAGGATCCTGCAGGACTTCTACGGGCCATTCAATGCCAGGCTGGCGCAGGTCCTTGCCGACGAAGCGTTTATGTGGAAAAAGACGTGAGGGCCGAGTCCCCGCTGCCAGCTCTGTGCCGAGGACGATACTGCTGTTATTTTAAAATCACTCTCTGCAGGGAACCGTTTTACTCCCAGTGAGGAGAAGACCTCAGAGTCTGAGGCTTCCTTCCCTCTCTACGCCCGTGTTTCATCATAACCATTGCAGGAGTTCCTTCGTGACATTGGACAGCCCAGGAATTGACCCCTCACGAAGCTTCTCCGGCTGAGGCCATGGGAAACGCACTTCTGGAAGAATTCACATCTGCTCCCCAGGAATGCGAGGAGCTTGGGGGTGAGGCAGGCCGGCACGGTGCCGAGTGTGGAGAGGGAAGGAAGCATCTCGAAGAGAGCCGATTCTGGGGTTTTCCAGTCCTGGGATCAGATTAAGCAGCCAGAGGTGGTACCTCGGGGCATGTTGGAACCTAAGCTTCACGTTCGCTTTTGAAACACATCTTTGCTTAGCTCACTTAGACTCATTTGGGCGGAGGATGAAGGCTCTTTGATTTTTTTTCCCTTTTGCTCCAGGGGTAGCCCTTCAGTCTCTTCAGATGTCAGCCCTGTTAACTTCACTGTTTAGTGAGAGAAAAAAATGAGTTTGTGTTTGGAAGCGCGTTCATTTCTCGAACCCCTCCCATCCCTTCATGTAGACTTGGCCTTTCTGTGCTGACTACAGACAATGAATGCGTTTCGAACAAACCACTGTCTGCATTGAACTAGCCAGAGCTCTCTTTTCTACCGCTTTTGGTGTTTTCTCAAGAAATTCAGCTCATAGGTGGAAGAGAAATTTTGGCTGCGAATGCCAGAATGAGCAACTTCCCGGAATTGAACACTTCATGGAAACGCTAGGTGACTCAAGGCCTCGACACGTGCAGGAGGTCATCGAAGAGCTGGGTGGGTTTCAAATGTTGATCTCTAGCTGGTTACAGGCCAGCCTCCCCCTCGGAAGGAGCCTCTTATCCACATTGTCCACCACGGTGTGGCCAGACTTCCTTACTCAGCCCACAGACTACAACATGCTCGTATCCTGATTCAGAAGCACGATGCATGAGCTCCACTTGGGCTGAACTTGGAATGCTTGGATTTGGAAGGTGATTGGTAAGGGCTGTGTTCTTCATTGAACTTTCTGGGCCACTTGGCATCTTGGTTTGCCAGTGGTGGCAGATCTTGTCATTCCTTGGAAGTGGTGGGACAACGGAAGAGAACACTTGGGCCCACTCAGCGCACAGCCCCGGTGGGATCCCAACGAAGCTTTGCACTCAGATGTTGTCAAGGGAAGCTTTCTGTGAACCAGAGCTCTCAGGTCAAGGCCACGGACACCAAAGTCAGAAAGTGCAAGGGTCTACGTGCTGAACCACATTTGCATGTCTGTGACAGAATGGGGGCTCCCGTGGCTTGAGGATTTGCAGTCCCTCAGCAGTCCAGCCAGGGGGCACTTGTCCTTTCGCCATCCGAGGTGGGGTACACAGCCCACTTGAAGGCATGTGGAAAGCTCTGCGTACTGGGCCGGCTGGGTTATTATTTATGCTATTGAAGGAGCTGGGTGTCCTGAGCGCCCCTTTCAGGGACAGTCGCCCCTTTCTGTCACAGCCAGCAGTTGGAGCAGCAGCCAGCAGGGAAATCTGGCTGGAGCACAAAGATGCTTTAGGGAGCCCTCGCTCGGATGTGTGTGTATTTATTTGCAGTACGCGGGTGTGTGTGCGTGCGGTGGGGGGCACATTTTCTAGTGGAGTCCCCTCAGTTCTGATGAGACTCCTCCACTCTGGACGCAGCCCTTTACAGCTCAATTTCTCTGCCATTAACTTGTCACTTTAAGCACACATTCTAGTTTTCCACACCAACATAACCACCACAAGGGTTCTTTCTTACGCACTCCTATGCATGTGAGTAACATGTTGTATTGTAATTCTGCTTCTTACAGAAGTATTACCGAGTTATATTCTTTCCAATATTATTTGGTTTATTATACAGATCTTTTTATACACGCAGGCCCGTCCCTTCTGTGCCATCAGACACAGGTTCTCTCGAAGGGCCGTTCTCCGAGGGCGTACCCACTGCCGCGGAGGCCTGGTCCTCACTGGTGGCCAAGGGAACATTCGGGGTGGTGTTTCTCTCGCCTGTCATCCCAAACCAAAGCGCAACGGAGCGTTTCTCACAACCTGGTATTGACGCTACTTTGTGTTCCGAAAAGCTGTGTGTGGGATTATAATAAACTGTACCCCGTTAGCTGTGTAAGGTATGGTAAGTGAGCCACGGTTACGTGTACTTTTATTAGTATTTAACATAATTAAATACGGATCCATACAGCTGTTGGCCTGCAGTGTGGGTGTTTTTCCTCCTCTCTGTAGCGCTCCCTGGTGTCCTTTGCAGGGGTGCATGAGGTGACGCGTGGGAGTTCTTTAGCCCTCACTTGCGCGCTGGGCACCCTCCATGTGGAGGAGACCTACCTGGGATGGGAGGTCGTGTGTGAGCCTGCTAATAACCAGGTGGGGAGAACGCCAGGTCGCCTGCCTCTTGTGGGTGTGAGTCCAGTCCACAGGCCTGGTGGGGTGTTTAGACGTTTGAGCTGGAAGGCCAGGGGGTCGCCCATCACTTGCTTAGGCACAGCAGGCCCTGCTGCCCCTTTGGTTCCAACGTGGCTGCTTCACTCGTGTGTGTGGCCTGCCTGGCCCTGGGGGCTGTGGGTTTGGACCCGTGGTGTCACTGGGTCAATATCATTGTCACTAGACACTTAGCATGCGGGCTGCAGCCAGGCAGATGCCCACCAACTGCCACTCGGGGCGGGTAACCCTGACAGAGGAGAGGGATTGTCTCAGGCCTGGGGGTCTGGAGCCCTGGGCCATCCTGGGTGCAGGGTGTACCCTGGGTTCTTGGGGCCACAGGACACTTTGGGTTGGTCCCCAGTTCTAGAAAGACCCACCCTGGGTGACATAGTTACCTAGGGCTGCTGGAACAAAAAGTACAACAAGTGGGTGGCTTTAAAGAACAGAAACTTATTTTCTCACAGTTCAGGAGGCCTGAAGTCTGAGTTCAGGGCCCAGCTCTAGGGGAGGGTCCCTTCCTTTGTTTCGGCTTCTAGTAGCTGCCGGCAGCCTGAGCTTGTAGATGCAGCTGTCGACCTCATCACATGTCCTCTCTCTCTCGCGCAGTGTGTGTCTGTTCTCTTTTCGTAAGGCACCTCTCGCAAGTGATGAGGACCCACCTCTCAGTATGACCTCATAAACGTAACAAAAAAAACCCTTCTGTTTCCAGACAGGGTCATCTTCACAGGTACAGGGTTAGGAATTCCACAGTCTTTTGGGGGGACACAATGCATGGTACAAGAGGAGCCTCAGCTCTCCAGCACTGCCTTCCA